TGCAAATGATAAAATTAAATCAGTAAAGTCTGCTGTTTCTAATTTCTTTGGATTTAAAAGTGAACCTATAGAATCTAAAAAAGAAAAAAAGAGAGAAAAGAAACCAATAGTATTTAAATTAACACAATCAGCTATTAAAAATGTAACTAAACAATTTTCAGCTGAAGGAGTTGAAGGAGCTGATGCTTTATCTTATATGAAATCAGTTAAAAATAATGTATTAAATATTTTAAACAGCAATAAAGGATCAAAGATCTATATTGTTCTTTCATGTGAAATGGAGCGTACTGATCTTAAAACAGGAGAAACTATAACAACTATTGCATCCTTTTCAACAAAAGCAGAAGTTGTATTAGAATCAACAGATTTAAACGAACTTTATGAAAGAGCTGAACAAAAAATTTTAGAATCCTTGTCAGCATTTCAACAACTAGGATCAAGTTGGAGATTTGTTTCTGTTGAAAAGATGGATATAAATATCATTGAATATAAACCGCTTAAAGGTAAATCTTACATTCCTCTTCCTAAAGAGTTGGCAGCTAAAAAAGCAATTATTAATATGAAAAATGAAGACAACGAATGCTTTAAGTGGTGTGTTGCTAGATTTTTAAATCCTAAAGATGTTCATCCTGAAAAAGTAGATAAAGATTTAAAAGAACAAGCTAAAAAATTAAATTGGGAAAAAATAAAATTCCCAGTATCACTACAACAGATTACTCAATTTGAGAAAAATAATCAAGATATAAGTGTTAATGTATTTGGTTATGAAAATTCTGTTTATCCTTTAAGAATATCAAATGAGAAAAATAGGCAACATGAAATAGATTTATTACTCATTTCAAATGATGAAACTAATCACTATTGTTTAATAAAAAGTTTAAGTAGATTACTTTCATCACAAATATCTGAACATAATGGTAAAAAACATTTTTGTAGAAATTGTTTACAAGCATTTTGTACTGAAGAATCTTTGTCAAAGCATCAATTGTATTGTGATACTCATGATTCAGTACGAATTGAACTTCCAAAACCAAATACAATGATTAATTTTAATCATTTTAAAAAATCTATGAGAGTTCCTTTTGTAGTCTATGCTGACTTTGAAAGTTTTATAAAACCAATCAACACTTGCTCACCTAATCCAAATGAATCTTATACAAAGCAGTACCAAAAGCATACACCTAGTTCATTTTGTTACTATATTAAATGCTTTGATGAAAAAATATATCAAAGTAAACTAGTTACATTCACTGCAAGTAATGAAGATGAAGATGTAGCACAAAAATTTGTTAACATGCTAGAAGAAGATGTAAAAAAGATTTATAACAAGTACTTAAAGTTTCCAAAAGATATGATAATTACTTGTAAAGACAAAGAAGAATTTAACAATGCAAAAATATGTCACATTTGTGAAAAAAATCTTAATGAAGATAAAGTAAAAGATCATTGTCATATTACTGGAAAATATAGAGGTGCTGCACATAGGGATTGTAACTTACAATTTAAAAATCCAAAATTCATTCCAGTACTATTTCACAATTTATCAGGTTATGACTCTCACTTGTTCATAAAGAAATTGTCAGAAGGAGGAAAATCAGAAGGAGGAAAAATAAATTGTATACCCAACAATGAAGAAAAAT